ATAAACAAAAAGCCGATGGCCTAACAAAATCTTTGATGTGGCAAAAGTTCAAAACTAATCGCTTGTCAATGGGACTTGTTAATCTCCCATTTTAGAGCAAGGGGGAGTGTTGGAAATATGACAATAGTTACAACCATCTAGACACATCTAGACTTACACGTTTTGATACACATGTAATGTCACATGACATGCTCAGTCATACAGCTACACAGTGACATCAGTATGACATCACTTATTGTGTCATATTCCATAGCATTCTCCACTATTCCTTGCTATACTTAGTAGTTACATTGTAGCACCTTCCTTTTACACTACTGGTCCATGCATACTGCTACATGTATATAAACTCAGGGTATTCTCCTAAAGTCCCTATTGTCTTACACAGACAATCTACTCATATCTGAGCCCCACTCAAATACAAACTCACTTCAAATCTACCATCAAAACTCAAGCAATAAGGCAAGTGCTCTTGTCTTGCTCTTCATACTGTACCTGTCCTCTGCACAATAGGGAGTTCATCTTGGAGCTGCAAACCACCTTCAGCCCCCATGACCCAGTTGCTGACACCAAGAGCCAACTCAACCATTTACATATGAAAGATAACCAGCATATCAACAAGTATGTAGTTGACTTCAATCAGCTTGCTTTGCAAGTCCAAGGCTACAGAGATGGTGCACTGCATCACCACTTCTACTCTGGGCTCCCAGACTGGATCAAGGACAAGGTCTTGTAGAATATATACTCAGTTGGGTTAAGTAGCCAACTATATTATGTACCTGTAGAATATATACTACAGGACTATTAGCTGAGTGTAAAGACAGGATGTAGAAAGTGCTCACCTCAGTTGGGTTAAGTAGCCAACTGAGGTGTGAGTATGCTACTTGAGTATGAAAATGAATGTGATTATGTAATATGGCCAAATGTGCACCATAATACTAAGTGGGACCCAGATGAAAGTATAATATGAAAGACAGAATATACAACAGGGTTTAATGTCCAAAGGAACTGTAGCTGCACTATCCATCCCAATCACTACCAATCATGTCAAACTGAAGATCACTGACATCAGTACCACTTATGCACTTCCTGACTTTTTCAAGAGGCTCAACAAATACATCATGTGCCATGCAGAAAGCATTGCATCCCACATTGCCCTGCAGATGTTTGACAGAGTCCCAGTGTGGTATAAATTCCACATTCAACAATACTTGACCTGCAGGCCCTCAGTGATCATGCTGATGTCACACACCAAAGGTGTTGTGGACATGGTTACAGCTGACTCTGCCTAACTCATTGACAAGTTGCACATAGTGCCATGAATACAGATGAAGACCAAAGCTCACATGTGTAGAAGGACTGCTGGACATGAGCAGTCATCCTTTGCACAAGAACAAGTCATCAGTGCTAGAGAGAAAAAAGGAAGTGAGTTAAGCACCCATCAAAAGTTTTTAGTGCCCATGTACAGCATTCCAGTTTTTGTCATATCTCCACCATTTCCAAAGATATCAACTCCATTCCCACACTTGCTTAAAGTGCTCAGCCATGTGATCCTGCCTTCTGAGTTTGGAAAGGATCCTCACACCCTATGGATTTCTACAGCACTCCATCCATCAGATGCTCATTTCACTACATCCATCAGATATGGCTGCCTCTTTGTTGATCATCTTGCTTGTCTCTTTTGCCAGAGACAGTGGCTATGTATATATGCCAGGTGTTCCCAGCAGCTTCTGTCCTGAAGCCTCCTGGTTCATCCCATCATTGTCAGCCCCATCTCAGCCCATGCAGCTTGGTCAGCATGTTCTCCTTGTCAGTATGACTTCCAGAAGGACATTCTTTTGTTGCCTCAGGTCTGTCACATGGTTAGAGAGGTCTTATGTGGTTTTTTCAGTCTCCCCACTTGATGAAGCATATGGATCCTTCCTCCCTGCTCCCTGCAACATCTTTATTCCAATCTTGTCCATCATTCTCCCCATATTGCAACAGCTGCAGTATAATTTACTGTTCTCCAGCCTCCCTGATCACATCCATGATGAGTATGATGTGCATCTTGCCTTTTTACTGCAAGACCTGGCAGAAGATGTCCCCCCTTCTCCCTCTACTCCATCAGAGCCCCATTCATGAAGCTTTTATTAACTTCACTGAGAGGATGAATGGGTGGGAGACATGATTGCCTATCCTCTCATTACCCCACAGACCCCCAATGCCCTAGCCCTTTGACACCTGACTCATGCCATCCATTTCTGGATTTAATACTTCCCCATCTGGAAACACTGTCCATCTGTCATCCCATCTTTTGACCTAGTGATGTCTCTGCCAAGATCTGACTTGCATTGCCACCCCTAATGTGATATCAGTGCACTTACTCAGTTTCTGACATTCTTTGACTCATACTGTGATATTTTGACTGCCCTTGACTCATTCATTGCCAATACTTACCAATCCTTTTTGCTTGCTTACTTTTCATTTCTCACTTACTCATCATGATTACTCATCACTTACAGTCCTTACTCATTACTTACCAAGCATTTGTGCCTTGTTTGTCATAGGCTGTGCTCCCCCTACAGCATATAAACCTGCCTGTACTTAGCTACAACCCAAGCAATCAAGCAATCAAATCAGTCAGTTCAGTTCTTCTCAGACATAACTTGTCATCAATAGTTGAGGCTCCATCAAGGGTCTATCTACCTCTATTCATCATCAGCAGTATCATCTGTGCTTAGTCAGCACATACACTTAGTCATCCTTTCACTCCTGCATAACTCAACATCAACTTGTGCTAGGAGCACATTCTATCCAAGCTCCTTACTCCAGTCAGCATCTCTCTCATGGTCATCATCCATTTGTCCACTTCTGTGCAACTTGACATCAACTTGTGCCAGGAGTACTTTTGGCTGAATACCTTCACTCTGTTCAGCATCCCTCACCCTCTCATCACTTGCTCTTCCACTCCTGTGTAACTTGTCATTGACTTGCACCAGGAGCACTCCCCTATTCAAAAACACCCACATTAGATTTTTCTGCCCTCCAGGTTCTGCAGAGGCAAACCACCACTCACTCTTATTTGTCTTTGGTGTTGGATTTGGTTGGTTTTCACTGCCTTTCCACACTTTGATTCACACCAAGTCAAGTGGTTCAAGCTCAGCCTCCATCACCTGACTTCCCCCATGGGAACTGTGATGTCATTCTTCTTAATGTTGATGGACAGAATCCAGACAACCTTAATTGTATGTTCCATAATGTATGTCCCTGGATAGTGCTAATGTACCATTTATTCATACAGGTCATGTTGCAGAAGTATGCATTGTATTTCAGCTGAACTGCTCCCACCAATTTAGAGACTCTTCACTCCCTGACTGCCTAGCTCAATCTCTCATATATGTTTGGCCATTCCATATCATTGCCATGCCAGAAGATCAACCAGATATGCATCTCTGGATCCTTGAAAGAGGATACAGCCCACACCCACCCCAAGCACCAGCATGCTGTAGTGGTTTTATCATCCCCTTGACTGAGGTCATTCATCCTGCAGATCTAGTACCCATTTTTGGGAAGAACATGGACCATACAGTGACAATGGCCACCTCTCAGGAATTATATGAACACTTTTTTCTTAATTCATACACTATCAAAGAGGCCTTTGACACATTGTACCATCTATACACTTGAGTGGATATGACTATTACAGCTGAAATTTCAGAACAGCTTTCTCAATACTTCATAGCACAATATTCTGTCAGTGATGGATTGCAATCTACTATGCCTTGCAGTTAAGTGACTGCTAATTAGAGAAAAATAGAAAAAAAGGAAAAACAAAAAGAATGTCAGCCAATCAGCAGCCACCATTTGAGTGAATGTAACCTCTCATCACCTGTGAGGGTCTTGCTTGCTAAGCATTCATTTCAGGCATTTCACAGATGTAGATCAAAGTGGGATGATGGGTGGATGGTGTTTTCTGGATGGGGAAGTATTAAATCCAGAAATGGATGACATGAGTCAGGTGTCAAAGGGCTTGGGTGTTGGGGGTCTATCTACCTTCATTCATTATCTTCAGTATCAGCCTTGCTTAGTCATCATCCATCACTTAGTCATCCATCTGCTCCTGCACAACTCAACAACAATGTCTGTGAGGAAGCCCTATCACTTGAAGACCCCCACTCCAGTTATCACCCTTCAGTTATTCACCATCCATTCTTCTGCTCCAGCATAACTTGCTGATGACATCCACTAGGAGCACTATCTGTTCAAGACACCCACTTTAGATTTTTCTCCCTCTAGGTTAACAAAGGTATGAATTCTCAGTGTATGAAGTAGTCACTTTATTAGTACCTAATGAAGGTATGAGTTCTACACTGCATCATTACCAAGTAAATGAATGGGAACATAGCTATACTCACCTCAGCATGTGAAGTAGTCACTGAGGTGGAAAATAATGGTGTGGAAAATTTATGGTGCCATAATTAGTGAGCACAGTGACATTGGAATTTAATTCCAAGGGTCAGAGAAAAATTCCAAGCACTCTGAGCAAAATCCCAAGATGTTACTGTAACTCTGGAACACATACTCAACATAGCTACCATGGAGGCACACCACCACTTGCTCTTTTATTTGTCTTTTGTGTTGATTTTGTTGGCTTACATCACCTTTCCACACTTTGACTTCATGCTGTCTTCCTAAACATAGTTCCCAGTAGCAAACCATACATGGAGGGCTATGCACAGTACTACTTGAATACATTCACTGACAAAGATACTTCCCATACTTTGCACTTACAATCACAGTGGTCATTTGTACTACCATAAACAATTGGCTCATGTTGCATCCATTCATATGAATTGTTGGATAAGATTGCAATCTTTACTGATAAGCTGACAATTGTGATTGCATCTTTGACATGTTGAAGATTTCTCCTGAGCACATTCTCAGCTAATTGGAGGCCTCCATCCCATGGTCATAAGCATCTGTAAGCTGTCAAACTTTTGCCAAGCACCTATTTCATTTCAGTCATTTTGCAGATGTAGTATGACTTGCAGAAGTCACCTAAGTTTATAAAGGTTCAAGTTGTTTCCAAATTCTGGGAGGAGAGAATGGAAAACAATATGTGGAAGGCAAGGACATCATTGGTTACTAGAGGATTTTACAATAATTAGCACGAGGTACGTGGCTAGCAAGTGAGCTGGTCCAAGGAATATACGACACGCCAGACGAGTAGTAGTGCCTACAAGTGTTCAATAAACCTCGTCCCCGATGCCGTAGAAAACGTCGAGGGATGGCGACAGTGAGTGTCATCGTCTTCGTCGACGTCCTCCCTGAAGAAGTCATGGAAAACGGAGACAGCGAACGCACGATCTTCATGCTCGCAGGGGATGTTTGCGAGACGGGCGATTCTTCCTTGAATGGATCACGGTAATCGGCAGAAATAGGATCGTTCCCCGAATCAGACAATGGTGATTCGGCAGTACTCGTGCAGCCAGTATTTTCGATATGTTTTGGCACTTGTCCGCCGCAGACCCCAAATTCATTGGATTGCATGTTCCCGTTACTTGAGGTAGACTCCCATGAGTCACCAGAGCCTGCTTTCATCCAACCACTTCCACTTCGTCGCCTGCCATGGCGAATCCTTTCCCATGATCGCTTGAATTTGTCTCCGAGAGATGATCCCGAGGAGGGGTCGAGTTCCGTGCTGCATCTGCGACTCCGCGCTCGACGAAGAACCCGATCCTGGTCGGTGGGTTCGTGGTACCGCAAAAGATAATATACTGCGCTGCAGCATACCACTATTAACACGCCGAGAAATACCACGAGCCCAATAAAACCTGAGTGAAAGTTAGGACGGTTATTACAAAGAGAGAAAATGAACGTCATACCTGCCTGCGAGCCTCCAATTTCGGGGATTGCTGAGCGGCGTATCATAGGTATGTAGTGGCCGTTGACCGTCAATGTAAATGCCAGCGAGATGAAGACTACAGATGGTCTACTGGTCAGCGGAAGTGCCATGTTTCACGACCGTAAAGGTGGTGATATCAAGTAACCTGGGCCCAGACTGGCAACCTGAGTCGGCGAAGGCTTTCGGAAGAGGGCTGGAGGGTATTAGATGCCGCGCGGCTTTCAGGCTGCCTCGCATCACCCACGCGTGGCAAGATGGCTTAAAAGGGGTATTTCATATGTCGGCGGATGCCGCCAAACTATTAATATTAACCTAAATTAGGGGCAGTCACTGGTCTTGGCCCGCGTCGTGACGCGTCAGATAAGCCGGATGAGAGTGCGAAGGCTAAGTAAGAGTGACCGCTGGAAGGTCTGGAAGGAGGCGGACGAAGGGATAAAAAGAGTCAGCTAGCCTGATTGCATGCTAGCCCCGAACGAGATAAGGAAAACTCATTCCACTTGACTCCATGCTTCTCCGTCGCGACTTCCTTGCAATGGTGGTGTTGATGTACGAGAAGAACGAGGGTAATACTGACATGCCGACAGTGCTTGGAGCAGATGGCCAGATAGAAAGGGCGCGAGATGCAGGCACAACATCACGAACGTAACCACCGAAGAGACCAAGCGGAGGAGTGTGGTGAGTAATGTGTCGGCGATTTCACTTTCCGGCCCTTGTACCGAGAGTGAGGTCTCTGAACGTCTTTTTTTCGACAACGGCTTCTGTTTCGGTTTGGGTAGGGTTGTCAGGTGTGATGAGGTCCGTTGATGGTGGCGTAGGGTGTTTTTCCATAGTTTAACCACAATAACATGTGCTTGTTCAGTGATAATACTAGTTGAACGTTAAACTTGGTTTTTGAGTTTTATTAGGAAGATATCTTGTTCTTTCTGGAAGTTCCCCTGAACGTCTCAGATGTGGCTTAGTAAGCATCACATCAGGCTCTGCCCATAGCCACTGTCCATTGTGCACCCGGTACATTGTACCGGAGCCATGTTTGAGATGGAGCTTCCCGTCGTCTGTGACGGACAAGTTCATCTAGGAGAATTGTTGTCCAGGGTAGCGCAAGCGACCTATGCTGAACTGGTCGAACTCGCAGAGACGTCAGTCTATCCCTTAATCCTCAACTGTTTAAGCTGACATGACCTCGTCATAGTTTGCCCAACATGTCGGATGCCGCACGAAAGCGGACATTGGCTGACTGGGTGGTGAAGACGAAGAAGCAGGTCGTCAAATTGTACGCTGTCATGAAATGGGCACGGGACGCGGACACCGTCCAGACATGCATGGTGAATAGCGATCGACGTTCTACCTTTTCAGCTGTATCTCACTTCCATAGAATATAACTGCGTTTTTAATGAATCAGAACCAGCAGTTCCTGGATGTCATTGACCGCCTGACTTACGCAAAAGAGAGCTTGGATCCTGCGAGGTAGGTGTCGTATTTACCTAACTGGAAAATTCTCTCAGTCTCATCTCAGACTTCGAAACCACGATCTTCTCACCTCTCTTGACGTGCTAACCTCAGGGACCTACAAGAGATTGCCGTCCGCGATCAAGGTTGAACACACCCCATTGTACTTGGAATTTGAACTCATGGCACTGGGTACAGAAATCCTTCATTCCCGTCCCCCCTCTGACGGATGCCGAGGTAATAAAAACTTTGAATGCCATGGAGGATACAATCCGCTATCGCCTCCGAATGACCGAGATAATACCCATTGAGATGTCTCAACACCGAATTGGTACTGTCACGGTATTGCTCGTGTACGAAGGCGAAAGTATTTTAACTGCGGTTTAGCCGGTGGTAGGGTACATTTCATTGTGCCAAAACTATTCGAAACCTCCATATGTTTGCGTGGCGCCGAAAAAGACGATGGGTGGTTCTTCGTTGGTGTAAAGTTTCTCTTTAAAGTGGGGGGCGATACGACCGGAAATCGAGGTACGCCGGTCAGGTTATAACGGTGCTGGCGCTAACTCTTGCCTAAGAATTCCCACAAGAGCCCACTGGAATACTGAAACGACATATTGCCGATGAAGCTGATGCACGTATGGCATGCTATCTTCCCTTCCCAGAGACCTGCAGAGGCGACTTCAGAGGTGCTGTCAAACATCGAGAAGCCCGAAAGACCCAAGCTTCCGGAGGGAACAGTTGACGCACCGCTCGTGCGATTGTACAATTTTCTCCGTGAGTAGCTTGTCGTCTTGTCATGAAGGACGTTTTCCCAGATTGCCGCAGAGATGATGTCTCTGTCTTACCAGCTTGAGATATTATGGTACCAGGTAAGTTTGACGCACCACCCAATGAGTTTGTCGACAGCTCGAGTTGCAGGCGCAACGAATGCGTTCTCTAGGATGGGCTGATTATCTCAGAGTAGAAATGCTTAATAACCGCAAAACCTTGTCAGTGTCTTACTGGTTGTAAGTGACATTCACTTGTTATGTATTTCACTACAACTATCGCTCGGAAGGCGCCCAACACCTCAAAGCATCCCAGGACGTTCCCAAATGCAGAGTCGTATAAAATTGCCTCCTCATGGAGGTACCCTAACTATTTCCATTACGGAAAGTCGGGCCACCCGAAAAGCTGGAGGCGGACCTGCACGAACGCCAGTTGCACGAATGCTTGCAGACCTACAACAGGAAGCCAAGTCTAGTGACGCCCATCCATCAGATGAAGCTGAGGGGTTGATATTTGATGTTCGGTGGGAACCTATGAAAGGGACTCTTGGTGTAATCATTAACCAGGAGGAAGTGTTGGCCACGGTGGGGCGTTTGGAAGTGGTGAGGCGGCGGGATGATCAATTAATTCTATTAACCAACTGATTCATTCCACTCAAGGACTCAAAAGACCTCGACTTTGAGGGCATGCTTGTCCGAGTCATCCATGCACATACAAGGTCAATTCTCTTGTACTTTCAGTCCCAACTACAGAACGGGCCCACAAGGAACGTGTTTTCGCCTGAAGGAAAGGTCATATTGGATTCGCGAGGTGCTGCTCGTCTTAACGGAATGAATTGTTCGCTGACGGTGACCCAGGCGACTATCACCAACTTCGCGTCCACTTATGCGCAGATGAAGTGGCTTGTTATTTCCATAGACACGCGGACAGGTCGTATGAACTTACGGGATACTGGCGACCTTGCTGCTGCTGGTCGTTGGCCTCGTTTTGCAACAATAACAGACGGTCTCAATGAGAATCCTAATATGTTACTCGAAGCCCTTAGCCTACTTCGACTATATGTGAGTTGTCCGGACTATGAGCCTCTCACGGTCTGATACCCGTCCATAGACGATCACAGACTCGGTTGAGCAGAAGGCAAAATACCTTGGTTTCCAGGTCTTCCGACATCGCAATTTTTCCAAGGAGGGTGAGTCATATTCTTTCTGGCTTCTTTTCGTTAGAACATCAACTCTTTTCAGAAATCCAAAAACTGGGGCCCACTGCTAGGGGAACAATATACATCCAGCTGGCAAGGTTCCCAACTCATTATCTCGTTCTCGTCATTACCGAAGAAGATTTCCGATATGCCCTTATTTCCGTTAAAGTCCTGACTGACAGTATGTTCGCCAACATGATTATGGAGGATATCGGCTGGTTAGATGTCCGACGTATACGGGGTGATCGAGGTGTCGGGTCCCCGGGGGATATCATGATAAGTCCCTTGATTAGCCAAGTCGGCCAACGGAGGAGACGCCATGTGGGTGCTTCGGCTCAGGATGTACTAAGAGAAGACAGGTGAGTTCGCTGACCGACCACTGAAAATCAAATTTCAGATGTTTTTCCCAGTTTCAACCTGGATACCCAGACTCTGAGGGAACTCTACGCGTACTGTTGGTAAGCCTCTTCAGTGTGAATAGTATTATCTGAATTGACGTGAATTTCAAGTGCCCGTGTCGCTTATACGAGAGTTGAACTCCAACTCAAACGTCGTGGCATCCCATACATTCATGTCAACCCTGCAAACAGTCTTCCTCCATCAGAACTTTCCCACATTCAGTCGTCCCTTGCTTGCTCTGTGCCCGCTCTATGTGTTCAGTCGTCGGACATTCTCTCCGGAGCACCCGCCGCTGAGGCGGCAATGCCAAACATCCGTGTCATACCGCTCAACTGGTGGTCAGACAAGAAAGCGCAGGTTGTCACATGTGTGAAGCTCAAATACGTCCAGCAACCTGTTGGCAAACGAGCCGCGGCAAGAGCGACCAACAACATTATTCGACCTTCTAAGAGAATAGTATACGATGCTACGGAGGCCGTCGTGTCTTTCTTATCTGAAAACGTGGACACCTGTGTAGACGAATTCCTCGAGGAATGGGCACGGGTATCCAAAATGGTTGTCATCGCTCGCGAAGGTGAGTGGTTCTATTTCTGACATCTCTCTAGCTGATTTTTGGGCAGTCGCTCGGATGGGTAAGGAAAGGAAGTGGCAGGACGTCCGGCTTCTCTCTTTTGATCTCCAAACGGTTGAATTTGCCTATGCGGCGGTAAGTGGGTTCTGCGCCGGTTCCAGCTATCTGGACTCACCTGACCCAAGGATTACACTGTATCCATCAGTTGCACAGACCAGTTATCACCGACTGGAGGTTCCTTTGAGCTGCGCTTTTCACGCAGCGCTCCGACATTTCGTCCGACACAGCCAGCATCACTTGCGCCTCCACCTATACCAGTTTCATTGCGACAACCACGGACCAACCCTCACGAAGAAGCAGAACCATATCTGCGACAGATTCTACGTTATGGATCTTTAGCGACGTCCTTGTACCGCCTGGTGGGGCTGCTGCGTGATACGCTTCCAGCGGTTGCAGAGCTTGACCATATGATAGCGGCTGCCAAAGAGCTGGCTGGACGGGATAGATCTAACAGCGGCGCCGACGATCCATGGTTCGACGCCTTTGTTAAAGGCTTGGGATGGTGGAGAGTGCTATATGGCGATCTAAGGTAATTTCGTGGCTGGATGCATGAACATCTAAAATTTCATCCACTTTTTTGCAGGCACGCCCTTGATCTTAGATTAATGACCAACAAGCGTATCGTTATTCTGGATGCATCACGTTCGCTCTTTCAGCAGTCGCTTGCTCCTCAGACCGAAGAAGTCACTGAGTTGCTGACATTCCAACCCATCCCCGATTTCCGTGATCTCGTTACGGAGGCTGTGCGTGCTGCGCGACCACCAGGGGTCGCCAACGAGGAGCGAGTAGCAATGATTGATATCGGAGTGGTTTGTGAAGGAGGATCAGTTGGACCTGTGCTGAGGGCGTTGCATGAGCGGGTGCTGAAGAAGCTGAAAGAATAGGCGACTGGTGCAGTATAAGATATTTAGGGTGGGGGTAATAATCGACACGGATATTGATTTTGGTTAGCTCAGTTGATCAGTAGAGGAACTCCGGCGTGAGACACCAACTTGCCGGTGACGACGTACCTATGTCCGACGGTCTCCATTCTTCCCAAAAAATCAACAAAGTTCCCCGAATGCCGACGGACGTCATATCTTGTTCGGATACTACAAAGTACCCGCCTCACATGTGCATCGGCGAGCTGCGGGCAACAAGGATCATCAGGGATGAGATCCGAAAAGTCCGAATGTACTCAATTCAGAGTCTCAAGTACTGGCAGCAGTGCTTTCCCCCCGGTGCACTGATGCCCGAAACGTGTGGTCGTGTGCAAGCTTGTGAGATGGCATCAACGCCGCCTTTCCACGCCTAGCAGGACTCACACGCAAGTCCATCCCTCGGGCGAAGCAGTTATTAGCAGCCTTCCTTTATATCACAACCACGTTCTTGCCCCTTCTTCTCGTCCGTGTTACACTCCTACATCCTGAATTCGTTAGAATGCAGAAAACGTTGAGCAGCAGGCCCCTTGCGTTGCACGCAACTGCCGCGTCTATCTTGGCCTACGCCTGGTCGAGGATCGGAACCCTTCCTTTCGATGAGTTGATCAGCAAGCAAAAGGGTGGGCATCTTCAGTTTCTTACAATCCAAGCGTATGTTTTTCTCGTTTTGCCTCGAGTACTCATATCTGAAAGCATAATCTCATTGCAATTCCTTCTAACTTGATCAGGCTTGTGGGCGCATGGGCGTATATGGGACTTTGTCTCGTTTGGGATCTCTTCCCCGGAGGTACACCTTGCTCATCCATCTGCTGTTGGATGGCAAACAACTCACTCACACGATCAGTTCGTCAACTTGGACTGATCCGCTCCGTCAAGAGGATGCTCCTCATGGTAGCTTTGCCGGTAAGCTTGGAGTACACCATGTTGTTCCTTGCAAGAAAGATTTAACTCCTTCTAGCTCGCCTTCGTGGTGACGAGCATCTATTGGTCACTGTACTTTTTCTTTCCGAAGTTGATTCTTCGTCCGGAAAACTCTTTCGCTGGCGCACAAGATTCACCTAGTCCCTCCCCAACGTTAGTTCGTCCTCCGCTACATGTCGACATGGCCATGCACGTCGCGCCTTTCGTTACGGTCCTTGCCGACTTCCTCGCCTTCGAACGAAAGTTGAGCAGCTGGCAGCTGAACAAATCTGCACCAATCACTCTCCTTCTTTACGGAATCCTATATGCTTGCTGGGTCGAATATTGCAGTTCCCACAATGGTGTTTGTGAGTACACATCATGGGAGTTGATAGGAGCATGATCCTGATGGCACTTCTCTGCACAGTCCCATACCCTTTCTTGACGATCAACCCACCAGAAGGCCGTGCTGTGGTATATGCCTGTGTCACTGCATTGGCATTTGTTTCCTTGAGATTCCTGAACTGCCTGCACGCATAACTGCACCCATCTACCTTTATATGGAGTGCTATACGACTCAGGTGATACCAGCGCACTTCATATTATTTACCCCAGGGATCTTGAACATCTTTTATGCCACATATTTGAAGGGATTGTTTTAATAATTTCATCCTACAAGCGTAGACAGAATAGGATCTTGCGGTGCAACGAAATCAATAAATAACCCTATCGTTATTCAGTTTCCTCGCAGGTATCTAGTTTGCGGGCGAGCTGTCCATGAGAATGTATAAAAAAAAGAGAGACACGTTCGAGAGTAAGGAATGGGAGAGACGGCAGAAGGTGCCAAGCACATAATAGTGCGCCGGTTGAATCAAGATATTAGCAAAGATATAATCAGGGAACCGGAATATAAGGCAATAATCAGGGCAGAACCTGTTACGTCTTCTTCGTGTTGTTCGTGATAACCACCGCCACGACGACACCAACGATGATAAGGATAAGAAGCGAAATGAAGAAACAGATCCATCGTTTCTTGCGAGCAGCCCGTGCTGACACGACAGCCTTTTCGGTGTGTTGAAGTCTGAACCTGCATTCAGCTGAAATGAAAGAACGATTATCGGCACAACGTACCCCACTTCCGTATCTTTCTCCACTGTCGCGGCAGTTGTTTGAATGGCATTTATCGTTCTCATCCTGTTGCTCAACCAAGACGCTCATCTGTGCGACCACCATGAACTGTAGTCCCGCCACAATTAGAGTGGAAACTGACATCATTAAACAATTGCGCAAGCTCGGCAATGGTTTTCTCGATTCGTAGTATGTCTTGATGCCGCGCTTGCACCTCCCGATAAGCTGCTCTTGATTCACCATATCGGTTTGAGTTCATGAGCTAACGATAAGTGAAGACCTGTAGTTTGAGGATCACCACAGACAACTTACGGCTTGACTGAAAATCTGCCCTCCGCTCTCGTCGTCGACCGCAGCCCGTATCTCTTCGGGAGTCGCGTCCGGTTTGACTGGCAAGACATCAATTAAGGAAGTTCAGCGCTACACAAGGCTACACGCACCAATCTTAACCTGCCTCTCTATGCGCTGCTTGTATTTTTGGCGATGTTGCTGCTCAACTTGTTGATAGTTCTGAATAGCATCCACAAACTTCGACTTCACGAAAGCAGTCTGGTTGCATGCAAGTGTAAGTCCAGCCCCCCACCGGCTCCAGTCCACGAACGGAAGAAAGTCGGGGCGTACCTGTTGTTTGCGGATTTGGCCGTCCCGTCCACTTCCACCTTGTCTCTCGAGTGTCTGGATTCGTCGCTTGAGCTGGGTACTCAACTCGCTGGTCTCTGCCACAAGCTGCTCTAACTGCGAAACCACGCGCTGCTGCGCAGCATCGTCGGTGTTGTTGAGTGAGCGGGAGTGCAGCTCGTCGATGCGCGACACGTTGGTGTTGAATGTTTTGAGGCTGTCTTGGATGGATGAAATCTACATATTAGAATGATTGATAGCAGCGCGTGAGCGGACAAACGAGCGCCGAATCATAGTCAAGGCACAGGTGACAGGGGAGCGTTTAGCTTGTAGCCTGCATGCAAAGAAAAGGAGCAGACCTCTGAATAAAAGGCATTCATGCCGTCCCCTCCGCCCGTCAAGTTTGTAGTGCTGTTAACTTCGGCCATCTCATAGGCACGGTCGTCTGCTCGAGAGTACGGTCCACCGCGGCTGCAACGCCATGTGCAGGCAGAGGCAACGTAGTCAGATACTGTACTCGATCAAATAGCGCTTGCTTACCTGCCCTGTTGCTGGGCCTGTCAATGAACGCGAAGAACACATTAGCATTAGGGAGGAGGTGCAAAAAGCACGCGACTGACTCTCATTGCTGCGAGTCTATCCATGACGTATCGTCAGAGAAGATGGTAGATAGGTGGAAGGAAGGGGCGTGTAAACTAAGAGGGACCGACGACGACTGTGGTTTCCAACTTCAAACGCTGCAGGTACCTGTCAGTAAAATAAGCCTAGACCTGTACAAGAAGAAAAGTTGGAAGGGCAAGTTGTCCACGCCAAGTCAACAGATGCTGATTTTGTTCCTCCCTGCAAACTGCCACAAACATCGCCTCCTGGCACCGTACAGCACAACAATAATACTGCTCAAGGTATCCTCTATTACACTTCCGGTTACATAAGAGTGTTTTTGCTTCCACACGCTCCTACTGGAGCGCAGCACGGAGGACGGATATTTGCCTGTCAAGTGTCTTCCGACTGGGTCCCCCGATCGCCATTCTCCTCTCCACGCTAGCCTCGAAATCAAATACTTGCACGACATCGTCATCAAACTTCGGGTGCAGTTTCTTGTAGTCGTCCACGTTGAGATCGTTCAGCTGGCATCTTCTTGCTTCAGCCAACGCAACAGCCCGTCCCGACACGTGGTGGGTCTCACGGAAGGGCACCTGCGGACATTAAATACATCATCGCCACAGTGAGCCTGAACTGGGACGTACCCCTTTGCGCACAAGGTAATCCGCCAAGTCGGTCGCCTAGGACGTCCATAGTCAGGGCTTGACGCATCTTGTCTCCGTATACCTACCAAAGAAGCTATAAGGGTGTGTCCTGCATAGGATGAACAAGGACTCACCTCCATCGTCGCAATGACACCTTCAGCGATTTTTAGGGACGCAGATATATTATCTGCGGCATCGAACAAGGGCTCCTTGTCCTCCTGCAGATCCTTGTTATAGGTTGAAGGGAGGCCCTTGAGCGTCATCATGAATCCGGCCATCTATTCATCGTCAGTTAAGACGAACCAGTCAAGATAGGTTCGTTTTACGTGGCCAAAAATCCGACCGGATTTTCCTCGAAGCAACTCGAGCGAATCGGGATTTTTCTTTTGAGGCATAATACTCGAGCCGGTACTTTCCTCGCGTAAGAATTGGTGGCACTTCGAAAGAATGGCGCACAAACTAACCTGTAGGCATCGCTCAAGGTGACGAAGCCAAACTCTGCAGTGGAGTAAATGATCAGGTCCTCGGAGATACGACTCATGTGGGTCATCGTCAAACTGGCCCACATGAGAAACTCGGCGATGAAGTCGCGGTCTCCCACTCCCCACATGCTGTTCTCAGCCAGAGACTTGAAACCTAGCTCTTTCGCAAGGAATTCACGATCGACGGCAAAGGGATTGCCAGCAAGTGCTCCACTGCCGAGGGGTAGGACGGAGATACGGGGGATGAGTTGTTGAAGGCGCTCAAGATCATACCGGAATGACAACGCGTGCGAGAGCAGGAAGTGTGACCATCGAATCGGTTGACCACGCTGAAAAGCGTGCCCAAGTCAATTTCTACGTACAGCCTGGTATAGGCTGTCGACGAACCTGTAGGTGAGTATATCCAGGAAGCAAAATGTCACGCTCCTTGTCCGCGCGCTCGATGATGACGCGAATGAGAGCCTTGAGACTAGCCTGTATGTCCTCCACTTCGTCGAGCAACCAGAGGCGCATATCAGTCGCGACCTGATCGTTCCTCGATCGGCCTGTATGGAGTTTCCCTCCGATCTCAGAGCCGATCAACTGACTGAGCCGTCTTTCGTTCGCAGTGTGGATATCTTCATCATCAGGCTCAGCTTTGAACTACACAGTGTGTCACGACCTAAACATGAAACAGCCTGAAACACTGGGTAATGCCGTTGACTTGCCTGACCGATTGTCCATTCCCTCCCAACGGCCTCGAGACCCTCGATCATTTTGGTCTCTTCTTCCTTAGTCAGAATGCCGACACGAGTGAGGGCTTTCGCGTACGCGATCGAGCCTCGGATGTCTGCCGCATGCATTCGCTGATCATACTTGAGTGACTGATTGAACTCGTGCATACTTTTGATACATCGTCAGCACCAACTCGACCGATCGTAGTACGCGTAGGGCCGTCTCACAGAGGATCTGTCTTGCCAGTAAACCGACCACCCCATAGTTTTTGCTTGGCTGGTTGATCAGACATGGTGATTCGAAGGGAAAATGATAATTTCCTTATTTATAAACCACAACAAAGGGATCGTTCTAGTACTAGTGTCAACTGAGCCTGCGCAGGGACAGTTCATGATAACCTGAGCGTCCCTGTTAACTGGGCTGTGAATCATGACTTGATGGTTTTTCGACGGCCACAGCCCTATAGTAACAACGAGTTTCTTAAAGTGGGACTTGTCAGACCACTTGCATCTAATTTGATTCCCAACTACCACCATCATGCGCGCCTATTACTTCGATGACCTTCCTGGCGACCAGCGTGCCCCACATGATAGTGGAAAGCCTGTCGATCCTGCCGTCCTCGACAAGATCGGAGTCCTCCGCTGGCAGATCCCCGTCTCCACCAACGGTCAGTATCCGGAAATCGATGCTGTCGCGAGAGAACGGGACTACAAGAACAGAGACGTCATCACCATTACGAAGGAGGGCCTAGGCGAGCTGTACGAGAGCAAGATCAAGATGTTCTACGAAGAGTGAGTAGTGTATCAGATATGGGTGTCATACCTTACGGATGATAATTGATCACGCATATCGGCGGAATGTTCTGCCCTCACTCTCAGACATATGCATGAAGACGAGGAAATCAGGTACACCCTAGAGGGAAGCGGCTACTTCGATGTACGGGGTACGTTGGCGAGGTGCCGGCTAGATGTCTTCCCTCTCACGTACCTTGCATTCAGAACACCCATCCGACTCCTGGATCCGAATTGCAGTTAGCGCCGGGGATTTGATAGTCCTTCCAGCTGGCATCTACCACCGTTTCACACTCGATCGACGCAATATGATCAAGGCCATGAGGCTGTTCAAGGTATATTATGCTGTACTTCATGATATCCTGGCTGAGGACCACCTTAGGATGAGCCAAAGTGGACTCCTTACAACAGGGATGCAGAAACGGATGCCAATCCTCACAGGCAGCAGTATCTCAAGACCATCGCTGTCAACTAAACCCTACCCTTTACATCGTAGATGGATGGAATGTAGGTTCTCTAGACTCGGATGTACTGCGCTGTGTTTTGTATTCTTATATGTTGTGAGCGCATCTGTGCTGCGATTTATCCACACTCTAGCTGTCAGAGAGAATAAAGATTTTTGCGTGCTTGTCAGGTATGTCGCTTTGCATCATACGTGTACTGAATTCGATAGATTATATAAACACTCATATGCACGTTCACCAGGCTAGGTACTGCCAAGAGCCGCGGATTCCCCTAAGCACATCGTTTCAATCCGCTCAAACAAGTAGTCCGTTGAAGCACTTGTCCAGCATGACCGCGGCGAATTTCCTTGGCGTCCATTTGCGCTTCCTGCTGGGAGAAGTGGAGCTCCTGATCCAGATCAACCTCAGTATAGCGTGCAAGACCGAACAGGAACCGGAGGCACAAAACGGTATAGACACACCATTCTGGACACACGCAAGGCATCACTCATCGCAAATAGTGCATCTCTCGTCGCGCCCTGTATGTTGTTGGTGCCTGCGATCATCTAGTTGAGAATTGAGACACAACACATCCATGATCCCGTTTCGCGTTATACGCAGGACATTGTATTATCCCGCACAATTGGTGGTTGTAATGGCATTGCTATTCAGATGAGTGCACCTGTCGACGAGGAGGAAAATGGTGTCCGACCCAGCATTACTGACACCAGAAACAGATGAGCAGCGAAGTTGGAGCTCCATCGATACGGAAGGTAAGTCGATGGAACTTGTTGCACCTGGCTTGGCAAAATTTATATGTATGCATATGCACCAACAAGTTAAAAAGCCGGTTGGTCAGTCCTATCCTCTGTCTAGTAAGTGTGAGCAAGTAAGACGAGTTTCTAAATGTCATGACCTTCTGATTAGTGCACCGACCGGGCCCAAGGCGAAGACGAGTATAGCACGTCCCCTCCTATCCTCTGTTCGCTTATTTCGTCGAGTAGCGGCCCGGTCCCCACAGACGATGACCTGGAGAACTTGTTACAGAATTTGCCTTACCGCGTCACAATAAACCTTGACAGCCAGACGCCTGCCCACGTGTAAGTCTGCTTGAACACGTACAATAGGAAGTGGCCTGTGGGGCAGGCCTGTCTGAGTCAATCATTTCCTCTTTGTCAACCACCCACATCATTAGACCTCAGGTGACAAACCAAGAGCTGTTCAGCTCATCCGAGGTAAAGCCGCCCGAGAGACACGGGTGCGAGTTGCGTCGGCCATTCACGGTTCTCGGGTCGTCGTGGCTCCAATCGTGGATCGGGCCGTAGCTACCACTAGTATGCACCCCTGGGCGGCCGGAGGTTTGATCGGATGGTAGTAGATCACCGGTTTGAAAACAATTTCACTTCCACCGTAGCAAATCCGCATGCACAGCTGTGTACCGCTCGAATTTCTATTGGTCAATTTTAGGGTCCTCCTCGTTTTTCCGCGTGACTCTATTCGCCTATAGTCCACGTTGCAGGACAGCGGTCTCCCGGTGACTTACTTACCTGGAAGATCGATCTTCCCTCCCTCGCCTTCACATCTTTTGTTTTGTTGTCAATGGGCTATCCAAATGGATACGTTTCCGGAGCTTTTGCTCGCCCGTGCCGTGGATAGTAACGCCAAGTTACTTACAGTGTTGAAAACGTTCCCAGGTTCCATGAGATCGAATGCACCAATTGACGTCTGTCAGGTCAATGGTAGTGAATGCGCATGAGATCAGTAATGCATTCAGAAAGGTGTGCATCATTAGCGAAAGCGTGCAGGTAAGGAGACAGTAGGAGGAAACGAAGTAACTCATCTTGGTCTGGTGTACCGTACAATCGCACCAAGTCTCGCTTAAGCACATTCATACACCAGTTCTACGCATATCCGGGAAATAACCGGGGGCCATACACCACGAGGCCCTCTCTCCTATAGATCGCCAGCTCTATATACAAACAAGGCAAATACCGGGAAACTATGAGATGCTTAGGTCGACGTTTCTCTCTTGTCTTCGATTCTGTATATGAGTGTAGTGTAAATAACGTTCCGCGATGGGGTAAGTCGACGTGTGAGATGGTCGTGGTGCGAAGTGAGGATCGTGTGCAGGAGGCATCGTAGGGTAAAGAGGGATGATAGTGGCGGGGAGTGTAACAGCGCAGAGGTGGTGTGGTGCCTAGCACCGCACCAATGGGGGCAAAGGCGAGGTCGTGGGTGGATAGAGGAAAATGAGAGAAAACGAGTGATCGCGAGGACATCAAGAAAAGCGAAAAAATAGAATATAATGAGTGAACGGATTAAGCGAGACTAAAGCATAGAGAGCTACGGATGGTGCTGATGGCGATGATGATGAAATGGAAATATACAGTGAGTGTTGCACGTCCATGACGAGAGAAGAAAAAAACGCATAAAAAGATTTGCCAAACATCGCATCGCATAAATGGAGTGAACTGGGTTGGAGGAGACATTGGATGCCACACTATAGGATCGCGGGCCTACAGTGGACTCGCTGAACTGGACGAGTAGGCATCGACAGAGAACAGGGGACATCTCTAAGCATAATGCGATGGTCGATACGGCAGCGGCGGGGTCGGGGGGTTGGTCAGAGGAGAACGCAATTGTCCCCGGTAGGCAGAAGCGCTAGAAAAACATTCTTTCGACCAGCTTTTTCGTCCGCAATCCTCACATGCACATGCTTGGGTGGTCCGTCGCACGTGCACACTTCGATGCTCCGTATCCACGAATCGTATTCGTCCGACTCTTCGTCCTCTGGCCCACTGTCATCTAGATCTGCCTCTGTTTCATCGTTGGCAGCCTCATCATCTTCAACAGCGGAACTGTCCTCTTCGTGATCAGAACTTTCCGAGTCTTCCTCACAATAACATTTGTCCCCTTCGTCCAAAGCGAAGACTCCTGGGGCGTGCTTTCTCCCAAACAACAACTCACCCATGGTCGCACGCGCACGCGGGTCGAAGCACAGCATACGTCTGAGTGCAGGTCGCGTCTCGCGCGGAAGAAGTCGGAATATTGAATTGGGAGAGGAATGCGAAGAGGTCCGTGCACGGGTGTAGGTGGGCTTACGCGGCTGCGGAGAGGGCGAGGTGCTTCCATTGCCATCGGCGGGCGTACGTTTCACGGTAGAAGGTACAGGCTTATCAGACGGAGATGAGGTACTGGCAGACGGCGGGGATTGTACAGACGCAGGCTCTGACGTCTTCAACTCCTTCGAGCTAGAAGTGGAGCGCGATGGAGCCGGAGAAGGCGAAGGCGGTGGTAAAGACGGGGCAGGCGAGCGCGACCGTGATTGAAGCTGTGGATGTGACGCAGATGGCGTCCTTGAACACGAAAGCAGTTCCCCACTTTCCAGCGTAGGTGCTGTTAACCCTGGCACTGCATAATCACGCACTTTCAATCCCGTCCCGTTGACCTGGCTCGCAACCAATGCCGCAGCGGACGACGGAGAGGGATTCCCCAGTGCAGGCAAACTCTCCGTCGATTGTCCTGGCCGACCAAACTCCAATACACTCTTGTCCATCTCCGTACCTTCCGCCGGTTCTGGATTACTGCAAAGAACAGGTAACGTCGTCGTGCGAATTCCTTGACCAGGGCTCAAAAGCACATGACGGGTAATGGACCGTTGACGCTGATGTTGACGACAGTCTTCGTGCTCCTGACCATCCTCACTCGCCTCTCGTCCCTCCTCGCCCTCACCCGCACTGTCGCCACCTGTGTCGCTCTCGTACCAGAGGCAGCCACACTGAGAACACACGCTGGGAACCCTTCCTTCGCTAGTCCGATAAGGATATGTGCTTGCGCTCGGTGGATATGCATAAGTGCTAACGCTTAGCGTGCTCACGAGGGACTTGGCATCATCTGGAACACTGTGGACATCTACGTACAGCCTCGTTAGCACTAGTGCACGAATGCCAGAACCGAGGATATACCGCAAGGCGACGCAGTCCTTGGCACTGTGAGGGTGTCTTTCTTGTTCAGAGTTCCGGCCGTCGTGTTGGCTGCGGAAGTGTCTTCTTTCTTCGCCACATCTTCCTCCGCTCTCTTTCCGACACCATTCCCTTTCCGTTTCCTCTTGGCCGGGTCCTCTACTTTCTTGGTCTTGGTGCGAAGCGCAGTCGTCTTGGCCTTGGCAGCCTCATGCTGGAGCGTAGGGTTCTCGCTCTCAGCTTCTAGAAAAGCCTTGAACGAATTATCCCGCTCGCGATCTGGCACGGCCCACGGGAAGCGACGCAACATCATGCATACCTGCGGACGTAATTATTGAGTCAGCGTCAAACGGTTCATTACCAAGAGAATGGGGAAGGCGAGGACGACAAAAAAGAGTTCATGTGACCCCACTTAAGTTATTCAGTTGGCAAAAGGCGCGAATAGCATCCGCATTTTAGCACCAGCATCCAAACAGGGACAAACGGCGCTATTTATGGTGCTGTGGTGGCAAATTCGGGTCTTGGCGCCGCGCCCAGTCGAAGACAAGAACGAGAAAAAAACCTATCAACCATAAAGAATGTTGACTCACGAAAATAACACCGACACTCCATACATCCGATTTGCGTGGATCGTAATCAGCGCCTGCCAAGACTTCTGGAGCGAGATAAGGATCGCTGCCGACGATGCCTGTTGCCTTGATGAGACGAGCATGAGTGTGCGGCATAGATGGTTGAGTGCTAGTGTATCCTAACACCGGTCGTCCGTTGCCACTAGTACCTGGTGCATTGGACGTCTCGACGCCGGAGGTGTTGGAACTGGCACCACCCCAACTGGAGCTCCCGGGGTAAGCGAATACGACTGCAGTGCCGAAATCGATGAGTTTGACAACGTCACCCTTGGTTAGAACGCAATTATCTAGTTTGAGATCCCTGTGTGCGAGACCCAAAGAGTGGAGATAAGCGACGCCATCACATATTTGTCGGAAGACGCAGTAGACCTCCGGCCTGAGCATCTTGGCAGACATGACGACCGTAAAGAGGTCGTAAGGAGCGTATTCCATGATCTGATGGGTTGGGTAAGCATGGCGAGAGAAGAGCGGACCGGGACGCACCTCGTAATAATGGCCGTGGTCGCAAACGATGTCGACTGTCTCGATCACATTGACATGTTTCAAACATGCACCGACGGAGAATTCTGCACGAACTTTCTTCTCGTATTCCCGTTCTGTCTCGCCTGTGCGGCGTGGTCTGAATTCTTTGACTGCGTAGACAGCACCGCCTGACTTTGCACGGCCACGAATGAGCCGTACGGTGCCACCAGCGCCGGAACCCAGGACACGTTCCCATTTACCGTACTTTTTGGACAGATGGGCGTGAGTTGCGGTGGAGAGGGAAGGGACAGACCGAGATGGGGTGCAGGTTCCGCTGGCATCGGGGGTAGTAGGGGGAGAGCGAGACTTATGTTGCCTGGACGAAGCGGACGAGTTCGGTGAAGGCGGCTGTTTCTTGCGGGGATGTTTGTCCAAGTCCTTTTCCTTTCGACGAGCTTTCTGGATGAAGCCAAAGAAATCCTTGTCCCGCTTGTGGGGTGGGGTGGGAACGGCAGGTGGAGTCACAGGGAGTTGTCCAAGATCAGCCTGTGCAGTGGCAGCAAGGATGGGGATGGCGTGTACGATGGCAGAGGTGTCGAAGTCACGACCCCTTCTCTGGTCGTGGGGAAGAAGGTGAGGATAGGGGAGAGTGGAGGAGGGAGACGGGTTGTGAGAGGACGGGGTGGCAGAGCTCGTCTGGGACGAGGACGGATGGCGGTGGGGTAAGGGGACGGGGAGAGGGTGTGGGAGGTGGTGGTTGAGGAATCGCTTGAGGTCGTGGAGAGGACCGGGTTTGGCGGAGGGGATAGCGGGTGGGGTGGATGGGGACCGACGCTTGAACGATACCTGGCACATCGTCGCAGGTGGTTCGTCGTCCTGTTTGGGGGTGGCAGTCAGTGACAAGCAGTGAGTGGGGTGAGAGTAATGGACCTCTGGTGGGACAAGCAGCTGCATGGGCTGGGCGGACAACATGAGTGAATCAAATAATATTTATCGAGGCTGGGCAAGCAAGTTCTCGAGTGGGAAGCAGATCGCACATCTGCTCGGCCCGTCCCATCCATGCCGTTATCAATCAAAACAACCCCCCTCCACCCCTCCACGACACAGACTTGGCGTGCTTATTAGTCCACTCGTCTTTACGTCAGCTAATGCTACCCGCGTCATGCCGCTTGACTAACTACGAACATAACACCGGTGTACAAATCCTGAAACCGATCCAGTGCTGTACCCAGCCTGAGTTGCTCACCTCTTACTCTTAAACCTCCGAGGCGATCGGTGGTGCATTTCAGCTACCAGTCTCTCCGAGACTTCTGTTCACAACTCAGTTGATGATTCCGCTCGCCGGGCCAATATTGATGCACTCTATTTCATATCCTTTCATCACGCTCCGAGTACTGCGTGACATCACACATACGAAACTGTGGGATGAAGGCCATTTCCATCCTATACGGTCATCGTACCTCCAACCATCATACACGTATGACCATCGATCATGCCAACCTTGCGCCATTCACGGGAACTTGATCGGCTTTCCGCACCAGGCGGGAGCCAATCATGATGCGCACGGTGGCAGTGGTGGACGCTAGCAGTAGCCCAATGCAACCCAGCTTCCTCGACCTGTGCATAAGATGAATGGCACCGGCCGCCATAGTAGCGTGTACTGATCGAAATACTTAAACCGTCACCATTGTTGCATTCACAATGCCCTCATTTGAACATGGAATACGCTCAGATAACTGTGTACCCATCAAGCATCAATACATCTGTTAACAGATGACAAAAGACGAACCTGTCAATTCCACCCCTGTCCACATATAGTGCCTATGTATAAGTGCATAAATATAACACAACTGTCCACCCACATTTCCACAAGTACCCCACACAAACGTTACGTACCGAACACCTCACCCGAGGTCTTCCGCCTCCCGCTTCCGCTTCATCTCTCGAGACACCTTGTGCTGTGCAGCCTCGTGACGCGCGAGCTCTGGTGGGACCTTGGACACCGGTGACTTCGCAATTTCTATGTGAAGAAGGAAAAAAAAAAAAACAAGGCGGCGTTAGTGCGTTGATTTCGTGGGGTCGTTGACAACGAGAAAGAAAGAGGCAAGGTCATAAACGAGGTGAATGTATGATAAGGGAAATTGCATCTCCGTATAGAAAAGTCTGATGGGCGGGGGATACCGGGATGCGATGGTGCGAACATAGAAAGTGGAAGACGGAAATAGATGCCACATTGACACTCTATGCCGGATGCGGGGTACGAAAGTGTCATGGACCCCAAATTGACAGAAAATCGCGCGGAGATCCCATAATCAAAAAAAGACCCCAAGCAGAAGATATGGGGTTGCAGAGGAAGAAGCACATGTAACATTGTAATAAAACTTACCTTGCTTGAGATCGTACCTGAAAAGAAGTGTGCAGCCGCATTAGCATGGTGAATACCGAAAGAAATTAAAGAACAGGGGTACGATTGCACGACTGGGGTAGAAACGACACGTACATAACCTCGTCATCATCATTCGTCAGGAATGTGATCGCAGTTCCTTGCTTCCCAGCACGACCAGTACGACCTACACGGGATCGGTTAGGTAAATCCACGACGTAACACCAGCCAGAACACCCACCAATGCGATGCACATACGCCTCGATCGTGCCTGCCATCTGATAGTTGATGACCAGACTTACGTCCTGCACGTCTATACCACGTCCGGCAAGGTCAGTGGCCACAAGAACATCCGCATCCCCAGAACGGAGAGATTGCAACGAAGCCTCGCGCTGTTCTTGAGTTTTGCCTGAGTGCAAGGTAGCCGTAGACCACTGCGATATCCTTTAGCACCTGGCAACAAACATACCAGTATACACCTACGCCTCCGCGGGACAACTCCTTCGCAACCATGTCCGCCGTCTTCTTTTGGTTGACGAAGACGATGATAGGCGAAGGGTAAATTCCGCTGTTGAGGATTTCTAGCACGCGTTGCCTGCCACGATGGTCGTCAATCTCAGCTCGACATTCAAAGTGAATGCGTACCTCTTTTTCTCGTCCCCGATGACAAACTCAACACGTTGCTCGACAGTGTCGACGGCCCGCCCGGCCTCACCGATCGTAATGGTTGCTGGCCGCTTCAAATACTTTCTTGCTAGACGCTCGACAGCCGGAGGCATAGTCGCCGAGAACAATGTCGTTACTCTCGTACGACCTTTGTTCTTCGCGCTTCCATCTTCACCATCTACATCCATTGCATCCTCCTGCCAGTTAGTTTCCTCTCCTTCCAATGCTCCAGATGGAAGTTTATCAAGGATGAAGAGTAAGTCCGCCTCGAAACCGAGATGCACCATCCGATCAGCTTCATCCATGACAATATAGCGACACTGAGAAAGAACAATGACATGCCGCTCAATAACATCCTTCAGACGACCTGGCGTGGCGATGATGATTTCGGCACCCTCACGAAGATTAAATTGTTGCTCCTCCATGGCACGCTAGTGCGGAAACGGTCCGTTAGAATGCTGAGAAGCTGCGAACAAAGCTACTTACACCACCAACTATGGAAACGCACCGGAACCCCAACGGTCCCGCAAACTTGCGTGTTTCCGCCTCGATTTGTTGTGCCAACTCACGAGTGGGAGCAAGTATTAGCGCGTACGGCCCAAGGTGGCGGTTGTCATCAGTAAAAGGGGGTAGTTTAGATATAAACGTGAGCATCGGTATGACGAATGCGGCAGTCTTTCCAGAGCCTGGTTACCGGAATCAAAAACAACAGGAATAATATGAACGACTTCACACACCAGTCTCGGCGATGCCGATAATGTCCCTGTTCTGAAGTCCAATCGGAATGGCTTGCCGTTGGATAGGAGAAGGTTCTTTATAACCTATCTTTTCAATAACATCTAAAATGATTTGAGGGATACTCGACTCCGCCCAAGACCGGAGCGGGTGAGGTATGGATCCACCTGGACGCAAATAAATTTTAGCACGGTTGAGCGGTGCCAGACCCAGACTCACCCCGGCCAGCGATGCTGAAGTCCTCTCTGAATATCCGCCAGTCCCTATCTTTCATTTCATGAAGCGGTTTCTCTGACCAATGTCGTTCATCAAGGCCACTCTTGGCTGCTTTCCTTCGCTCTATCGCATCGACCAAATTTGCGTGACCTGCTCTGCCGGGCATCGAAGCACCTCCATCGTCCATTCCACCCACTCGTCCGCGGCCAAACATCACCTGCGCACCCTGTCTGCTCGCTCCAACGGCAATAGGTGAATCTACAGCAAGAGTATCTTCCTCTTCTGCCCAGTCAAAAACAAACTTTCTGTCATTCATCTTACGAATCTTGCGTTTTTTGGTGGTAACGCCAAGGTAACGATCTCGGACAGCCGAGAGGTCGGATTCGGTCATGGGAGGAACGAACGTTTTGGTTGACTCGTGAAGGACCTCGCTTTGAACGCTTGCCGGGGGATGGGGTGCGGGTGTGGACGTCGGTGTAGAGTTCGAAGGCGTAGCGTTGGAGGATTTTAGACGATCTGCCCGTGGACCAGTAGGTACATTTTCGAAGCCGTTCTTGGGCTGCTGGGGTGGGGGGCGGCGGTCATCCTTGCCTCTTCCATCCCGTCGTCCGTAGCGACTGTCTTTGTCCGGGTGACCGTAGCGATCGCCGTCATCAGCTGCGAGTATAGCTTAGCATGTCACTTGTAAAATGGGAGACTGAACTGACGTCGAGCGTTACCACCCCCATATCTAGTTGCACGCTCGCGTTCTCTTTCACGCTGCCGGATTTCCTCTGCTTCACGCTCAAGCGCCTCCTTTTCTCGCTTCGCCCTCTCTTCTCTTTCTCGTTGCTCCTTGAGTTCAGCAGCCCGTCTGGCAATGGCAAGGTTGGCACGCTCTTCCTTAGAAAGGAACTTGGGCTACAGTGTCACAAATCAGTGCACAACATGCGACTCATAAACTTGTCCCAAGCCCACCTTTGCAGCTGCCTCTTTCTCTTCTTTCTGTTTCCTGCAGCAGCGACTCGATGGACAGCGGCTCCGCTCTGCTAGTCATAGTTCTGTAGTATCATTACTCACTACTATGGGTGCCTAGTGTGTCGCTCCGTCTTGATCACGTGACTTTAATCGTGTTCGTGGTTTCAAGACGATACCATCACGGTCGAGGACGTCGCTGGCTGCGGGGGATTGGATTTGCAACGATGCATTCGGACTCGCGTGTTCAATCTCCCCGTCCTGGAACCCCGGAACCATCCTCAAGACAGGGCAGGAGGAATGCTCAGCCGGACGCACAATTACTCGACGACGATGGAACGATCTCGGAAAAGGTATGCTTCACTGAACCCCTGGTTCCCTGCGACTTGCCTGAGGTCCCCCAGCTCGAGGCATGTCTCAAACACATCTTTACCAAATATTGCGTTCCCGCACCTCCACCTTCAGACCGCAATGGGCCCTCCCTTCTTACACCACCAGAGGGATCCTATCTCACCCCAGAAGGTCTCGATGCGTGGGCCCGTGATACGAATGGTGCCCCATTTTCGCAGGACACAAAAGATGAACTTATCGAGTTTCTTGATGTAACTGATGATGGTGGACTCACGTTCGTGAACTTGCTCCATAAGCTTTCTACGACCGCTCCTTACTTCGTCCACTTACAGTCTTAAAGGATTTATGCAAATCTATCAGTTGCAAACGGAAAATGATGAAGAGGAAACTTGGAGAGACTTAGTATGTGTTATGCTTCTCGTGCATTCGCCCCGTCCGCATTTGTAACTCGATTGCTCTCAGTCTTGCCATGGATTTGACCGCGGCCTTACGCTTGTGTCCACACGGCGTGAAGACGAGCTAGAGCAAAATCCAGCCGTTAGGGAGTCCAAATCTCCCCGATTATCTTGTATGTTCAACGCTATGGCCACAATGCCGAATTCCTGATTTATATATCCGTTCTACAAGCAGAGCGATTGATTTTTTATGCACGTTGCTGGAACGTACTGACACTTTACCTTTTCATACCAACATTTTCTTCATTTGTGGGACGGACACATCCAACGGAGGAGACTGCCAGCTCATATGGACCTGTTTTACTTATCTTCTTCTATAGTAAAACAGCTCTTTGGTGGGTGCTTGAACTGTGCGAATTCAGAGACGTTTGTTCGCTCCCACAGCTTCCAGCGCAGAACACAGTTTCTCTTCGTTGAGATGGTGGTACATAGTTCCAGTGTTCAAGAACTTCTCCCGTATCCAGTGCTCTTGCTTAGCAGCTACGCGATGGATGTTAGGCCTCATTGTTCTTGGAAGTCAGAGTGATGCATACTCTCTCTGTCCTAGCATCTTTCATGATGTAACTGGATGGTGGTTGCTGTGGTCTTCAGAGCTGAATGCTGTCTTTACATTAGTGGTGCTCGAAGTGGTTATGGAATTGCCCTACAAGTGCTCTGGAATCATACCTGAAGGGCCTCTGCTGCTATGAGTTTTGACTCTAACATACTGGACTCTGGTACTATGCTTGACTAACAACTGATAGTAGTTACTATTTTTTTTTTGATGAGTGATATTATTGTAGCCACTGATGAAGTCTAATTCTACACAATGCACTAAATTGAGAACCCCTTTGGGTCTCAGTCCAAGGAAAAATACACTTATGCACCCCCTGTGTTTGGTGGGGTGTGTGGGGCTCTGTGAGTCATCAGGCATGCCTGGGGAGGTGGGGGTCTGAGCAATGTGGCTGTCAGATTTGGCAAGTCATCCATAGTCTTCATTGATTGATTGATGCTACTCTTCTCACCATGAGAATCACCTTCCATTCATGGGTGTACAAGACCACAACACTTGTTCAATTTGTGCTCTACAATACAGCACAGCAATTCTTTCTATTCTTGTAATGTTTTACTTTGTATCCTTGATATTACAGAATCAGCAAACCCCTTTGTTCTGTACAGCTCTGTACAGAACTCTACAGAGTCACAGAGCCCCCAGGCTAGTCCACTCTGGACAGCTCTGGAGAGATACTCCCAGTTGTGGATCTCTGCACAGTTCTGTACAGTACACACTAGGCTCTGTACATCCACTGGCCCATGTCACACAGCCAATTGTCAACCTTGTTTGGTCATATGATACAGTACAAAGTAGGTACATTATGCAGACCATGCTAGGCTTGAAGCTCCCCACCCTCAGTTTGAACTCATACAGTTCTTCTCTGTTCTCAATGAGCCCCCAGCTTTACTCAGAACTACTCTTCAAGCTTGTTACCTCAATGCTCCTATCTCATACTAAAGGCAAGTGCTCTAGCCCTACTCTCACCCTTTTCCCCTTCCTCTGCCAATACATGTAAGGCCATAACTATGTTCTTGACCTTGACTGACTATTAAATAACTTGATTCTCTATACATAGGTAATATGATTATGGTAAGTCCATTTCTGTCATCTCTAAGTAGTGTCTATTGGTATATCAGTATTGCAATTCCATGTATTTACACAGTTGAGAATTGATTGTATTTTGACTATTTGATCTCTGGAAGTCCAACTGATGGTCATTTTTGTTGATGCCACTATGGGAGGGTCTGGAGAAGTGTGTACATTACTGGGGGTGTCTGGAGAAGTAGGTTGAGCTGACTTGGAAGGAGTTCATCATAGAGCTCCAAACTACCTTTGGACCCCATGTGTTATGCCAACAACTCATATCACATCATGAATCGAGTACTGAAGTACAGGCATGTGACTGTCATGAGAAGTAATGCATAATTTAACTTCACTAGTGAATGGAGCACTAGTCTTGGCCAACCGAAGTCATACTGTCAAGTCTTCATGAGTACAGCAAACAGAGCTAAGGGTGGTTGCAAAGTAGATTTTGGATGAGGGAGTGGTATGATACATGCAGGTTTATATATGTATGTAGAGTACTCACAGGGCCAAACATTTGAAAATGTTTAAACATACACCTGCCTTCCTGCTTAGGCACAGTTCAAGTCAGACTTACATGGGCATAAGGGTGAATGAGCTGCAGAGTGGGAAGGAATGGGAGTGAAAGAGAAACAAACCACATATATGACATAGGGGGGTAAATGGACAACCTGGGGTAGATGGGTTACCCATATCATGTGACTGTGTGGATCAGGGCCACCAGCAGATCACAGAGGGAAAGGTAATCAGACATAGTCTGGCTATAGTACAATGTGGGTGAACAGGGGTATACCATAAAGGGAAATGTACAGGAAGGACATGAGTTCAGTAGGAGCTCACAGTTGCCAGAACATTGTCACTCAAAAGTGTGATGAGTGGTAAAGTAGAAAGTCTATAAAAGGAAAGGCATGTGAGCAGCACATAACATCACCCCCCCCCCCAAAGGCCTGAGGTCCTCTGAAGGCAAGTAGAGGCCTTGTGTTACCCAGGAGTGGATCTCACTGTTAGTTGCCACTGTGAGCTGGGCAGTCAGATGACCAATGTCCAAGGTGTGAACATTGGTAGCAGGTGAACTGGTGAAGGGGATGCTGCCAATCAAGGGGTATGAGCCCACAAAATTTGCATTTGCTGAGGGAGTTGACAGGTACTGGAATGAAGGGACCATCTGGCAAAGGTTGGGTTGTCTTAGTAGCATAGAAGATGGCCTGTCCTGCTGAATCTCCTCAGGCCTGAGCAAAAAGGTCAAGCCAGTTGTGGGGAGATCCGTTGAAAGGGATGTCTGTGAGGGCATCTGTGATGGCCTGGAAGTGCTCTCTGCCTTGGCCTGGTATAATTTTCTCCCAGCAATTGTGACACCTCTGTTCACCATTTCCTTCAGCTTCTGATACTCTTCTTCCTCCAGATTGTGATGTCCTTCTGCAGCTGGCTTCTTGTTTCTGGAGCAGCCATGTTTCCTCTTGGTCAGCATTCACAGGTAGGCTTGGTCCTCAACATAGAGAAGAGCCCATGGACCATGACTTCAAGGGGAAGTCAGTCAAGAAGGGAGTGGAAGGACAATATGAGGAAGGGGCCATCTGTAGATGCTCATGGTGTTCCCTTGCTCTCCATCCATGTGATTCCCAGTGCTCGAAGTCATTAAGCAACTGCATGTAACTGAGGAAGAGGCTTGCCTTGGGAGCCAGTCTGATGGTTGTGGTCACAGGGGCAGAGGGGGCAACTGTGGGGGCCAAGAGTGCAGCCAGTGCAACACAAGGCTCTGGAGCAGATGAGCCAGGATGAGAGGCTGGGGTTGGTGATCTATAGGTGGCTTGGGAGAGAGGCAGGGTGTTGCAGGATTGGAAAGAGGAGTCATAATGAGGCTTGGATGGTCCCTCACAAGCTTTGGACTTTCCCTTGCAGGTGTCCTTGCACACTCTCTGAGAGGCAGGGACCAAGCAGATAACTGGGTATGGGTATGGGCATGTGGCAGAGGCAGTGGAGTTGTGAAGGGGTTGGTAGATACTGCCACATGGGGAGTGGGAGGATACTGCAGGGGATGTGGTGCATAGTGCTCCAGGGGAGTGTACTGGTGGTTCTGAAAGGTGTGGAGGGGTGCTGGCATTGTGATAGAAGTAGGGATGGGAAGGGTCATAGGGTTCATCAATATTGGCATGGAAGTCATTGTCAAAGTAGTCAGAATCAGGATTTTCAGTGTTGGGGGTGTAGGACATAGCATTTCAGAGGTTGTGAACATGTTTGTACTCCCTGAGAACCTCTGGGGCACTTATAAGGTTTTCCTTGCTCTCCCAACTGTTCTGGGAATGTGGGTAACTGAGCCACTTGACAAGGTAGAGGTATTTTTGCTGTGGGGTTACCCTGGACTCTTCTGATGATGACTTGACCTTGCATGCATGTTTGTGTTTAAGTATAGCCTCTACTTTCCATTTGTTCTCATCTCCTACCAGTTCTGGTGGAGGTGGGGGTTGTGCAGGGCTGTACTCCTTGGTTTCAATGAAAGGGGTAAGCTTTGATGCATGGAACATGGGGTGTATTTGCCAGCTCTGGGGGAGTTGGAGCTTGTATGTGACTGGGATGATCTGTTTGGAAATTACAAATGGCCCATGTTGTTGGGGTGCAAGCTTCTTTGATGGGACTTCCCATTTCAGATCAGACATGTCTAGCCAAACCTTATCTCCTATGGAGAACTCCATATAGGTTCCTTTTGACTGCTTCTTCATCAACTTCTGTGCTTCCTTGTGAGCAATAATCACTGTGTCCCTATTGGCAGCCAACTGCTCGAGCTGGTCTCCTGCAAGTGACTTGACTGGGTGTTGTCTGGTTGGATAGGGGGTGGGGTTGAACCTGTACATGAGTGAAAATGGCATTTGGTTGTGGGACAAGTGTATGCACAAGTTATGCACCATTTGAACATCCAGGAGTTTGGTGTGCCAGTTGTGTGGGTCTGTGTCTGCATACATGTGAAGGTAGGTGCCAACCTCTTGGTTTACACATTTGGCTTTGCCATTGGTCTGTGGATGGTATGTGGTGGAGGCCTTCAATTTGATTCTGAGGGATCAGTAGAGGTCCTGCATAAAGGTGGAAATGAATTGCAGTCCACAATCTGAGATAATGGCTTCTGGGACACCCCAGTGTGGGTATATATATGTGTGGTAAAGTCAGCTATGCCAACACTATCCATGGTTTTGGTAGTCGGTAGGAAGAATGCTCCCTTGGTGAGTCCTTGGTCAATGATGGTGAGGATAGAATCATATTTTCCTCTGGACAGGGGCAAGTCTGTCATGAGGTCCATAGACACTTGCTTGTAAGGGAAGGGGTTCTTTGCTGCATCATGTGGTGTAACAGGGGGTGTAGTCAGATGCATATTGACCTTGTTGGCTTGGCACAAAGGGCATCCTTTGCAGTAGTTGCATATTGACTGGTACATTCCAGGCCACCAGACATATTTGTTCATTTTCTTCATCATTGCTTTTACTCCAGGGTGTCCAAATGCAGGTGTGTTGTGGTACTGCTGAAGGACATCTTGGTGAATGGGTTCAGGAATGAGT